CTGGGCGACAGAGTGGTTTTGTCGTTTTGTTTTGTTTTTGAGTCGGAGTCTCACTCTGTCGCCCAGACTGGAGTGCAGTGGCACGCGCGCAGCCACCGCAGACTCAACCTGCTGGGCTCTGGTGATCCTTCCGCCTCAGCCTCCCGAGTAGCCGGAACTGCAGTCACGCGTTACCAAGCCCGGCTATTTTTTATCTTATTGTAGAGATGAGGTCCTGCCAAGTTGCTGGAGCTGGTCTTGAACCCGCGGGCTCAGGCAATCCACTCCCCTGGGCCTCCCCAAGTGCTGGGATTATAGGGTGAGCTACCGAGCCCAGCTGAATTCCTAACTTTTAATGTGATTTACTCTCCAACCTGATTCTGGCAGATAAAGAAAAAAATCAAAGTGTTTTATGACCCTGTAAAGATGTCTTTTGTGGACTACAGCACCTTTTGAGAGGGTTATTTGCTGTGTCAGAAGTCTACCACCACCCATTAGACTTCATCTACATATCAGGAAACTCGTTCCCTTATCTTCCTCAAGCTGCCCATTTCCTTTACTGCTTTCACAATTCCTTAGATAACTATGCTGACTAGATGTAATCAGAAAATCTTTGAATCCACCCATAGCCTATGGACCCCCCCATAAGTCCTGCTGCCCTGGACTGAACCAATGTAAATCTCAAATGTATTGATGTATGGTTTCCTGTAACTTCTGTTCCCCTAAATTGTATGTAACCAAGCTAGCATATAAACACAGTGGGCACATTCTCAGGACCTTCCAGGAATGGGTGTCATAGGTCTGGTCACTCATACTGGCCATAAGCCATCTTAAAATATTTTACAGAGGCTGGCTCGGTGGCTCAGCCTGTAATACCAGCACTTTGGGAGGCCGAGGTGAGTGGATTGCTTGAACCCGTGGGTTTGAGACCTGCCTGGACAACTTGGCGAGACCTCATCTCTACAATAAATCAAAAATCAGACGGGCGTGGTAGCATGCACCTGTAGTTCCAGCTACTTGGCAGGGTGAGGCAGAAGGATCGCCAGAACGCGACAGGTTGAGGCTGTGGTGGCCGGGAGCGGCCACTGCACTCCAGTCTAGATGACAGAGTGAGACTCCAATTAAAAAAAATATATATTTTACAGAGTTTGGCATCTTTTCATCAAAACTAGATACAGGAGAGTCAATGGAAAAGCAAAATAAACTCTCTGCATTCAGAGAAATGTGAGTTGTAAGGAAAAAAAAATTAAATAAAATCCCCTGCAAAATAAGATACAAAGGACATAATATTCTGGTGAGGAGAATGCCTAGGTAGGGAGTAAATAGCATACACTGACATTGAAGCGAACCAGGAAAAAGATGAAGTGGGCTGAAAAGTCATTGGGAATGGTGAGCCAACTTAGTACTCTTTACTGGCCAGGTCCTTTAACATGTATTGCCCTCTCTCTCTCTCTTTTTTTGAGTTGGAGTCTCACTCCATTGACCAGGCTACTAACCCACACAACAATTATCTTCATTTTACATTACAGACCTGTCCCAGATCACACAGTAATCAAGTGGTGAGGGTGATATGCAATCCAGGGTTGAATTGTAGCAAAGTGTACACTCTTTCTTTTTTTCTTTTTTAGTAGGGAAACTAAGTCTAGAGGCACCCACAGTGTTTCTACCAGAGAGAGTAAATGTAAGTAGGTATGGTCAAAGAGATTTAGGGGTTGTTCTTCACTTACACAAAGGTTTCAAGTACCACATTGCACTCAGTTTGGGGGGATGAAGGTGTCAAAAAACTACCTGCGTTGTACATAAAGACCCTATACAAACACAGAATAGAGGCTACCACTCCTTGAGAAGACGCAAATACTATCTGTACTCGAGCATAATGGATCAAGAAGGCAACAATGTATTACCCCAGCAAATGGTAGGTAGAAATCAGAAGAAATACTTCGATCAGAGCATTGCAGGATATAGTACAGTAGAGTGACAATCTAAGCTGTATTGTGTTGTAGTCTACACAACAATTATATACATAATGCAAGAAAAATATGTGTGCAGAAATCAACCAAGATAGAAATTCTAATCTTTCTTTATTCTAGAAAAAGAACAGGCACATAAAGGTTGTTAACTAAACTCAAAAGAGAAAATGAACTTTTACATGACTTGAAAAGACTAAGCTAAGAAAAATATTGACAAATCAACAGAACACTGGCATATTTTTCAGGTTTCAGAAAAAAAAATCATTAAGTTATATTTTAGCGCTCTGGGGAATCTATGTGACGTACCAATTAAAGGAGAATGCATACATTAGTTCTATACAAATTCTTGGTATAAAGGTCTGACATATGTTTTGCCCTTTTTGGATTTCCTTTTTTTGTTTGTTTTTCGAGTTAGAGTCTCATTCTGTCACTCAGACTGGAGTGCAGTGGCACGCTCCTGGCCACCACAGCCTCGACCTGCTGGGTTCCGCGATCCTTCTGCCTCAGTCTTCCAAGTAGCCGGAACTACAGGCGCACGCTACCATGCCTGGCTAATTTTTAAAAATTTTTATTTATTGTAGAGACAAGGTCTCGCCAAGTTGCCCAGGCAGGTCTCGAACCCCCGGGCTTAAGCAATCCATTCGCCTCGGCCTCACAAACTACTGGGATTACAGGCTGAGCCACCGAATCCGGCCTCTTTTTGGATTTTTTTTTTTGAGTTGGAGTCTCACTCCTGTCGCCCAGACTGGAGTGCAGTGGCCGCTCCCGGCCACCGCAGCCTCGCCTGCTGGGCTCCGGCGATCCTTCTGCCTCAGCCTTCTGAGTAGCCGGAATTACAGGCATGCGCTACCACACCTGGCTGATTTCTTTTTGGATTTTTAAAACTCAATGCTTAAGAAAAAGGCAAGGCTGGGCTTGGTGGCTCAGCCTGTAATCCCAGCGCTTTGGGAGGCCGAGGCAAGTGGACTGCCTGAGCCTGTGGGTTCGAGACCAGACAGGGCAACTTGGCAAGACCTCATTGCTACAAAAAAAAAAAAATTAGCCGGGTGCAATAGTGTGCGCCTGTAGTTCCAGTTATTTGTTAGGCAGAGGTGGAGGGATCGCCGGAGTCCAACAGGTCAACACTCCAGCCTGGGCAACAGAGTGAGACTCTCACTCAAAAAAAAAAAAAGAAAAAGACAATACATTGCTTAAGCAAATGCAGCTTTCCTGTCAACAGAGCTAAGATTATGGACCAATGTAGCACCTAGGAAGGTGGATCCTAAGAAATCCATGGTTTAGTACCTCAGCATCTGTGTATCTGTATCTGTCAGTTTTAATAATAAGACTTTGTGTTCTTCATCAAATCTCTCTTTTTTTTTTTTGAGTTGGAGTCTCACTCAGTCACCCAGACTGGAGTGCAGTGGCTGCTACCGGCCACCGCAGCCTCGACCTGCTAGGCTCTGCGATCCTTCCGCCTCAGCCTTCCAAGTAGCTGGAACTACAGGCGCGCGCTACCATACCCAGTTAATTTTTTTGATTTATTGTAGAGATGAGGTCTCTCCAAGTTGCCCAGGCGGGTCTCGAACCCACGGGCTCAGGCAATTCACTCACCTCGACCTCCCAAAGCGCAGGATTACAGGCTGAGCCACCAAGCCCGGCCCATCAAATCTCATTTGTACATTAGTTATAACAATTAAGCATCTATATTGACCTCTTTATTTGGAAGATTCTACCTAGGTTCTTTGCTTGGTATCCCAATACCATGGGTCAAGGCTCCCGTCTCCCAGGGATAAGAATCTTACCCCTGGCTGCGTGCCGTGGCTTGTGCCTATAATCCTAGCACTTTGGGAGGCAGAGGTGAGAGGACTGCCTGAGCCCAAAGGCTCAAGACCAGCCTGGGCAACATTGCAAGACCTCATCTCTACAATAAATTATAAAAATTAGCCAGGCGTGGTGGCATGCACCTGTAGTTCCA